GCTGTGAGAGCAAGAGTTTATATGGACCTGGCAATGTATAAAGGTTGCAGACGGTGTTCAGGTTTCAAAATGTCTGTTTGAAGGATTTGTTGTTGGTACTCAAACTTGTGAAATTATTCAAAAAGACTTCATCAAAGTGGTATCTCTCAGTGCTAGTGGGAGAGCTAAAGAATATGCCCAGATCTGGTTCTTACACTTCTTTGAGAAAGCAGAAATGGACTGTCTGGGAGTTTATTCACTGAGGGATTTTTTTTCTACCATTGTGTATGAGGATAACATTCCTGAGGAGGAATTCTTGTGCCAGGAAAGTCTTCTTTGCTCCATTAATCTATTTTTTTTCCAATGTCAGGAGTTTACTGCTTAGGTATAACCAGAAGGTAAATCGGCAATCTAGCCTCACAGATCTTAGTTGATAAAATGTGAAACTTGCACATTTCTCAGGATATGAGACTCCCCATAACAATAAAGACACTCAGTGTGCATACCCACAGGGCATCTCTCCAGTGTCCCAGGAGAAAGACATCTAATGAGTGAACAATTAGAGGAAGTCACACTGTTATAGAAGAAGTCTGGTCTTTGCAAGCAGTAGAATCTCATATAGAGATGCCATGTGATAGGAATCAAAGGAGTGTCTGGCTTCACTGAACAGTAATGGCAACTGGAATAGAAGAACAAAAAGACAGGAGGGAAAACACAAAATAATCTTAAAGTGGAGGATAGGGCAGAAAAGCGGTAGTGAAATTAAGATTTTCATATACGGCTGTAGGCTTATCACACAGTCTGGAGCAACCTGGTGAAGCTCTTTTCTGAGCCAAGAAACTTAAGAGAAACCAAGAAGCAGGCAATACAGTGTTTTAACATGCTCAGTACGAATGAAGGAATAAGTGCTCTGTGGATATAGAAAGCATTTTTTCAAGATGAAGGGACTGAGGTTCGTACATCGCCCCTCCTGAATAGGCACAGGGATGAGTGCTCAAAGAAGTGGTATTCGGTGGCCAACAGCAAGCGCTGACCACCTTTTCTGCAACATTCCACCACCTTCCACATATTCATCTTTAGTGACAACAGCGTTGTCAATAATACCTAGGCACAGACTCCTCCCTTATCTATTTGCAATTTGGTTATCTGCCAGCCTCCCTCCAAGTTTCTCAATAGGAAGTGAAAGTCAAGTCGACTCCCTGCTACCACACTGGTGCACAGATGCAGCAGTTGCTTCCCTTTTCCCACCAGGGCTTTCATTTGGGTTACAGAAAGATAAACTTTAGAATAATGCTGGGAAATGAAAGAGATCAAGAGATAGAAAAGTTAGGAGAGAAAGAACAAAATGTTCATCGATATTACAATATCAAAAGGATAAAACAGTGCCCCAAGACCTCAACTACATCTTGTCTGAATGACAGAAAGGCAAGAGGCACCCATTCCTAAGATCCTATGGGCTTCGTGATGCATCAGCAAATGATTACTAGTGGTGAGACATGATGGGAGAGAACTTCCCCCAAAGCAAAGAAGGATTTTGTACAGGAGCAAACACAAAGTACGGGAAACAACGGAGATGAAGAAGAAGAGATGATGAAAATGTGGGAAGAAAATGGCATAGTGGGGAATGAAAATGTGAAAGTGATATGAAAGGGGAAAAGAGATCAGATAACGGGGAAAAAAAGAATAATAGGATACATTATTTAAATTAGGAAAGAGGATAGGAAAATAGGAAAGAGAGGGAAAGAACAGAACAAAGAAACTAAAGTTTTAAAAGCAGTAACAAAATAGCACTCTAGTATTTTTTGAGGGAATGAATACATATGGCACATATTTTATTCTACTGCCTCAAAAGGTGCATGGAGGTGATGCTCAGTAGTCCTCCATTTGTGATAGGTTCATCATTTCTCATTATCCATGGAAGAAAAAAAGAACAGAAAGTTTTCAATATGTGCACTACCATCTGTTTAAGGGCTGTATCCACAGCAATTAGAAACCAAGACAAAAATCAGTTGCCGTGTAACCACACTCCCTCGAGAAACTAGCAACGTAAGATATTTTTTTCAGTTTCTAACAACATATTCAGACACAGTACTACTGAACATTTAGGGGCTAAAGTGAGGTACATCAGGCATTGAAGTTGGTGGTTCATGTTCAAATTCTAACACATACTCAACCTACTCCTCGAAGTTATAGGTGTCTGACAACCCAACACTCACACGCACAGCTCCATGCTTCAGGCTCCTCCAGACCAGAACATTTCATCTAGAGAAAGACTGGGAAAGGCAAAGCTCAGACAGTTGCCAGCAAAGAAATTCTGTGGTGGTTGTTTTTCTTCTTTTGTAGAATGCATCCAAAGCGAATTCTGCTTTGGACAAAAGAGCTCAGTGAACAGCAGGAAAAAAAAAATTATTTACATCCCAGTATCTTGGAGTACAGTAAAAACAACGTATGAGAAACACTTTTCCCACAGTTTCTTTCCCTGTTGCTTTTTCTTATTATATTTTTAAAACGTTTACTCTTTTTGTGTTGGCTTGCATAACCTGTCAGGCTCACATTCTTCAGAATTTCTTGCAAAGACTGGAAGAATAAGCCTACTACAAAAAGCATCTATTTAAGAAAGGGGCCTCCTTATGGCCAGAACAGAGTTTGCCACATTGTAAGGACAAAGAAGCACCATTAAAACCACCTATCATGTTCTTGCGTTCTCCTTCCGTAATGCTACCAAACATACAGGGAAACTGCATTATCTCTTTTCTCAAACAGATGAACTGAAGAGTAAAGGAGTAGGAGGAATGAGCAGAACATCTTCTCAAAGGGCAGCTGAACAAAATTGTTGCACTACGGCATACACAACAGAAAGTTAAAGTTCACTTCCCTCACCAAACAAAACGGAAAGCGTGAGACAAAATGTTAATTTATCTCACCTATGGCACATTACCTACAGATAGCATATTGGGATTCTAGAAATCTGCACAACATTCTCTTAGAACATAATTCAAAGCCATGTTTGATGACTGATATATACTTCACAGCTTTTATTATTTTCAGTTTCACAAAAAAAACTCCCTAAGAAACCAACTTGCATTCTTTATCAGCT